TTAAATTGGCGCGTAGCACCGAGGCAACGGGAGTCTGCTCTTGCACCTCAGAACATATGGTCCTTCGAGCCGGATACAGCACCTACTCAGCGTCGGGAAAATACAAGTTTAGTGCGTGTCAGCGGTCCAGTGAGTCAACTTGGATCAAAATCGGTGGTTGCTACATTCGACGTATTATAGGACTATAATACAAATTCTTCGAGTGACTATGAGAAAGGACTTTCTCACTGCAACTTAGTCATCTCCAATTCATACCAGCAACCATACATACGCAATCGGTGACAATTCGAAGCAGACAACAGTCTCAACATCCTCAACCAATCTACGCATCTCATCTCACGCAGCGAGAAGAGATCATCAACCAAGGGTCAACCTCAAGACAGCATCACTTCAGCGCATTCATCGTGGGGCCAACAGGTATTGGAGGTCTACACAGGGTGAGTTCATTTTCTGAATCGTTGATCTGTCCTTGAAATCCTTTTCCTTTGCGAGTTATCAGTCTCTAAAATGGCAGATTTAGCGAGACTAAAGAAAAAACGCGGTAATTTAAAACGTCACCTTACACTTTTTGGTGCGTTTCTTGAGAACGCAACTACAGCCGATTGTTACGATGAAGTTAGTTTTCGATTAAATCAAATAACTGGACATTTAGCCGAATTTGAAGACATTCAAATAGAAATTGAGTTGGTGGAAACATCTCCCGAAAACGATAAATATCGAGACGAATTCGAAGACAATTATTACAATCTCTTGCGAAAAGCACGTCATTTCCTTAGAGTTCATTCTCCTATCTCAGATAGAGAAGAGCGAGATATTACTGTAATTAACGGGACAGCAACAGCAGTTGATCGATCTAATGTACGCCTTCCAAAGATTGATTTGCCAACTTTCAATGGAGCATATGATCAATGGATGTGTTTTTTTGATACTTTCAAATCCATGGTACATAATAAAAGTCATATTTCAAAAATCGAGAAACTTCATTACTTGCGTTCGTGTTTGAAAGACGAGGCGGCGACTGTGACTCAATCGCTCGAAACTACAGAAGATAATTATGATATCGCTTGGGATCTTTTAACCCTTTGAGTGCTATGGGCGCACATATGCGTCCAACGAAAGTCATCGCTGTGGACTATGGACGCAAATACGCGCTCAGCAGATGTCATCAGTATAGACT